AAATGGTAATCTTGTGTCTTCTCGCCCACTCCTGGAAAATATTTAGTCCAATTTGTGCTCTTTTTTCAATATTGTGTCTACCGTTAACAATGATTAAGAAGTCATCAGCATAGGCAATAAGCTTTATGTCTGTATGATCCATCAAATCTGTGAAGAGTGAGTCGGCTACAAGCAGCCACAGCAGAGGCCCCCCAAACAGGAGTTCTGCGGGCATCCCTTAGTAACCCTATGGATTGTAATACCTGCTGCATCTGTAATTTGAACTGCTCTGTCAGAGAGATAGTCCCGAAGAAAGTCAATCAAGTAAACTGGGCAATTTAATTTCTTCAGTGCCTGAATAACATCAGGCCACCAAAGTTTATCAAAGGCAGCCTGTATGTCAAGCGAAATGATTAAATTATGATTATTATATTGCCTGTTTGTTTGAATTGTTGCTAGAAGATCATGTAAGGCATGTTCCGTAGATTTATTCTTGGTGAAGCCATATTGTTTGTTAAATAGTAGGTTATGTTTAGCGAGGAAGTACTGTAGCCGTATTAAAATTGCTTTCTCTAGTACTTTTCCAAGAGCTGGTAACAAACAAATAGTCTATAAGATGTTGGTAATGCAGGATCTTTTTCTTTTTTCAAAAACAGTGCTACCTCAGCTATCTTAGTACCTTGAGTAAAATGCTTGAGACGCCAAAAGGCATGAAAAAAAGCTATTAACAGAGCTGGAAAATTATTGAAGATGATTCTAATGATTTGATTATCCACACCATCAGGTCCAGGTGCTTTGCGAATGTTCAGATCTTTAACTATGAGACTCATTTCACTTTTTGTTGGTAGAGGTGAATCTGTCTGCTTTGATGTAAAAGTATAATTCTCAAAATTACGTCGGATGTCTACTTGCTGTGATGTATCATCATCTATAGAATCCTCTTCAAAGATTTTGGCTAAGAGGTATTTTGTAATTTATTTCTGAATGAAGGCTGCTGGCAAAACTGAAGCTGGAATTGAGAGAGGATGAAAAACGCTATCAGTCGCAATTTTATAGATTGTGCCAAAACGCACTGATAGGTTGAGGCAACATTTCTTCCAAGAGTCTCGTTTTGCCTGCAGTATTTTACGCTTAAAGTGAGCTTGTTCTTTTTTATATTTAACTAAAAGCTGTTGCCGCAGAGGTGAAGTTCTCTCCCCCTGAGCTTGTCGTCTTAGGCGTCTTAAATTTCGTCGAAGTTGTTGTAACTCTGGTGTCCACCATGCGACCTGCTGATGTGGTTTGAGGTGTTTAAATTTAAAACTGCGCTTACAAGCAGTGGTGATATCAGCTATGAGACTATTGTACACTTTATTTAAGTCACCTTTAGTGAAAGCTGAGTCGAATTGATGGCAAAGAGTTTCAACCGAAGGAGCTAACTGATTTATAAATTTGTTAATATTGCCTGAAATTGTCTTGAATCTAAATTTTGAAAAGTTAGAGACTTGTTTATTAAACGTAAATGTTATTATTTGATGATCACTAGAGCTTACTAAATCATCTCTAACACCAATTTTGAAAGTACTGAGCCGAAGAGTTGTTGCATAAGGTCAAAAAGCGAAAACATTTCGACGCATTCTTTTTATAATATAAACGTTCATTTTACTTCCTTTGCATGTGACGCTGTCATTTCGAGTGTTACTTATTTAAAATTTTCACATTGTTCTATGTCTTAAAATTAGAAATTAAAGTTAATGACCTAAAACTGCAATAGTATATTACAGTACAAGTTAAAAATTGGTAGCTTCACTCACGCGTGTCGGATTTGCGCAATGCTTACGGGGTCTCCTAAAATTTTCGTAAATATTATGGGGTGTTGAAGTCGCGAAAACATCTCAGTGATAAAAAGGGGTCGCGACTGAAAAATGTTTAAGAAGCCCTGCAATGGGGTATCACATTTCAACGAAAATATCCATTGTGATCGCTCTCCAATGCATTTGAATGTTTTTTACGTGAAATCGGTACGTATGAACAGAATAAAGGACTTTTTCCCAACACCAACTACAAAATGGATTTAGAAGAGAGATATGATTCTGCAGCTAATTTCAAAGAAAATCTTCATTTTTCAAGCAACAGCTATTTTTTCTCTGAATCACTTGCATATGACTCTAAATTAAAAAAATTAACAATAAAATCATTTTCACAATTTTTATTTTAAGAAATTCGAAAGCTCTACTTGTTAACGATTACTGAAAGTGACAACAAGAATTTCGCCGACATAGCAGAGAAGCAATTTGCTACGGATTTCATCACTGTGTAAATTTCTGTTTCCTTATTTCCTTATATTCCGATCATTCTTGTTTGTCAGAAAAGGGCTGTTTTTAATAGGTTCCTGATTTTCAGTCTGGAATTTATTAGCATCTTAAAAAAAATCTCCTATTGCCGTTTTGAATAATAAAGTTCAACTTGCAAAAGGAAAAGGCCTTTTCTTGCATGCATATTGATGTCTATGAAATCTCTGAAAGGAAATTCCATCGCCGAGAAAGAACGATCTACATCATAAAAAGCGATGAAATAACTCTGTTCTGAAAAACGCAGGAATTCAAAGAGGAAAGCTGAAGAATGTAGCACTGGGAATTTCTGAACGATGAAATATAAATTAGATTTCTAGGTTACCCGTTAAAAAAAGTAACGGGGAGGGGAAAGAAGAGGAAATAAGAGAAATGGCATAACACTTTTGAAGCTTGTGCCCCTGATTTTTTTCCCTTTTCTGAAATACATAAATAATTTTTTTTTAAAAAAAATGAGAAAAAATGCACGTGGTTAGAAAAAAATAAAAAGTAGAATGTTCTAAGAATAAAAAATTCAACATTTGTTATTTCAACGTTATACAAGGAACAAAAAATGTACATCAAAAGATTTATATTTAAAAAAAAGGGAGACACCGTACGTCCAAGAAATACGATATCGGATATAAACTCATTTTAGAATTGGAATCAGACGTTCCATTTAGTACAGAATTTTATGCTTTCAGGAAGGCGTTTGAACCTTCAAATTCCACTAATATTAAGAAAGAATCGCGACTCAAAAATTCGAATTTTCCTGATTTTTGTGTCATTTGAATTTCTTCTCATTGATATTGCTTTTCTCTGAAATTGTACATATGTATTTTATTTAAACATATGTATTACGCTTGTCTATTAAGGGAGTGTCATGTGTTTTCCGAATGATAGGATTTGCTTTTTCATGGCCGATGGACCCTCCTTCCTCCCTCTCCCCGACTTCCCGGCTGGGATTTAGAGATGATAGTTAACAATCTGATCGCCTAAGGGATTAGATGAACAGAGCTTATAGAAGCCATCAGGCTAAATAAGCATAAGCAAACCGCATTTAAGCAACTGTGCAGCTCCGCAGAATTTTGAAGAAGAATACCTGGAGGGCACTTCGAAAGTCTCTCATACCTCTTCAATTACCTCTAGAAAGGACTTTCCACTCGCCGTGCGTTCTGAGTGCTTCCTCACCGCACGGACACTACACGATTACTAATCCACGCCTTCACTGAAATAAGTAGACAATAAATATCTCATCTGAAATAAGTTACCCGGGATTCGAATCCAGGTTTATAAGTATAGCGTCACTAGCCACTGTACCAGCCGAACGACTTACTAATTAAGTAGCTGTACTCGTTAATTTGTACTTGTTGGACCCACTAAAATCATTATACATTTTTACTTCCTTTAAGACGTAGAAAAAGTATTGTAATTGCGAAAAATTTACGGTATCATATTTCAAAGAAAATATCCGTTTTGACCGCTCTCGAATCCATTTGGACGATTGTTTTGCGTGACGTCAGTACATATGGAATTCTTCCCCTCCCCGGGGGTTGACTCAGGCGAATGCCTGGGAAGTACTGGTTAGGATCTGTACCTAGGCAGTCTCAACCACGGGGGTATAATAACAGACTTCACAAGAAGGCCTGAGGGCACTCGAGACAGAGTAAAGCTCGGCAGCGACCGTATGGGTACTGCCTTGTTTGCCCTTGCTCTGTGGGGTCGCAGCATGGTAGATTGTTCAGTGGGTGGGGTGGCACTAATCCTGTTTGGCAATAGTCCTTAGGTCCAAGAGTTGTACATATGGACATACGTCAGTACATATCACATACGTCTGTACAGATTCAGATTCTACTGCATTATACGATTTTTTTTAACGCTTTACAGTTTCACTAACCTTACTATCAGACATTAGTTTTATTCCTATTTAATACTAGTACTATTATTGTTAAAATTTTTATTACTATTACATTTACTGTTTCATATATTGATAATAACAATTCTGTTAATCATTATATCATTTACATTTAATTATCATTATTATAATTTTGTGTTATTAGTGTTGTAGTTAACTCTGTACTTTAGTTATCAAGATTTATAGCTGTAATATTTCAAAATTTAATAACACAGTTGTTCAATATTAATCATCTTTCCCAAGTCTTTCACTTTTCAATTTACTATCAATTCACCTTAGCACTTACCTTTAAGGTACCATTTTAAAGGTAAGTGCTTTATATTCGTTATGAAAAAACAAAATTACAAGAAGTTTGACTCTCGTACGACAAAAATTGACCAGGATGCTTAATTTTAAAATTCCGAGCTTTTGGTGACATTTTTCAACTTGCCTTGAGAGACTGATTAATTAAATTAGAACCATTAGAGGAAATAAATTTAAATGAAGCGCAGCCAAAAATGTGTATAATTTTAATAGGCCATCCAAGCAAGCCTTGGTGTCCACAACAGATTTTTTTTCTTTTTAATAATAACTATTTTAGGCGGCTGGCCGAGCAAATGGCTAGTTATTTAAATAGTATTCATATTTTTAAGAAATTTAAAAGTAGAGATTTCAGAATTAGAGGAAACTTGAAAAGCAATTTTTTATTGCAAGTGCACAACGTCAAATAATATTCAGGTCTTGTTACACGACGCAATGACCAAGAATTTAAAATCTGATGCAAGATTTGTATGCATCATAAAGCAATAAATACTTACCAGCTGATCTCTGGAGAGTATATAATCCTCTTCGTCATCAACTGTGCTACACGCACCATAACCTTCTCGATTTCTATCTGCGGGATTCAGTTCATATTTTTCACTTTTGGATTTGCCGAAATGGGGCATTTCTCTAGACTTTTGCTCTTTTGGCACCTCCGGCAAATCTTTTCAGCAATCTTACTTTATCAACAAAAGCCCTAAAAAAGAAATAAATGGCATTTAATTTTGGAGTATTTAAAAAACAGTAGAAGAAGTCATAGTTTGTAAATACAACTAATTATAAAAAAACTATTTTCCAAGAACTACAGTGAGAAACAAAACAAAATCGCACATATTTGGCATGCAGAAATCAATTCTTTGTGAAATGTGATCAGCAGTAACCACTGTGTCAAACACGCTCAAAAATGAAAACTCGAGAAGACTTAGCAAGAATTGTTATTTTCAGCAGGCAGCATTATGTACTGATTACACGATTTCTTAGCTTCCTATACAATATTAAAAAATAACTGATATTGTCTGCAAGTTTCGCCCGATTATAATAAGGTTCACAAAGCGATAAAACGAACACTTTGGGAAAACAAATTGAACATCAAATATTAAAATACTAATTCATTTTGCTTTCTTGCATTTCATCTAATATTAAACAACATTAACAGTTTTTTCCAATGTATGCAGCGCTTGCACCAGTCCATCTACGGAGGAAAACATATTTCCAAGGCAGAGGCAACATGTTGCTCTTGAGAGTAGTATTTTGCGGCTATGCGTTATTCTCGCCATTAGGCTTGTCACGTTGACTTGCGCGTTTCTCTGTTTGTGTAGACGTTGGGCTAACTTACAGTTATTTATTTAAGCCAATTTCATTACGGTTGTTTTAAGCCAGAAATGCTAGCTATTTTGTTGCCAAGAGTGGTGCCTTCCATTAACTTGAGTTAAATAAATGGGTCCTTTACACTCTTTCTCAGTCTCGGTGGCGCTTTACAAGACATGGTGATAATTCACTTGTAATGTTCCAACCTATAAATTACAGATAAATGTGTGGAACCTTGAGAAATGATAAGCGAATAATCGCTTTAGTTCAGTAGCAGAGAACAGAACTCAAGAAGGGTTAAATGCCCTTTATTTCTCAAAATAAGAATTTAATAGTTGACTCCTTCTCGAAGTTTACATCAAAGCCTCTACTTGGGCTTGAACTCAGGAATACTAAGAAATAAAGCTTAAGTTAACTAAAGAGATATAGCCGAAGCTATCAAGATTCTACAAGAGTTGGCCTCTTAACGCTACCTAAACGGCGAAGCTATCAAGGGCCTGAAATACGGCCGAGCGTAGAAATAGCTTTAGAGAGAGAGAGAGAGTAGCTTAAAAGGCGAACGCTCACTGGTCAAAATCTCTGGCTCTCTAACGGAGTCAGTAATACTAAAAAATAATGTTAAATACTTTCTCCTCCTGCATTTAGATTTATACGCAACACATTCTGGCAGGAAATTGTAAGCTGAAATTAGGAAAGATTGGACAGTGGCTTTAACTAAAAATAACTGTTAGCAACGTAGGATAAACCTTGCACACTTAAGGTCGTAGAAGTTTCATACATTTGATGCTAACCAACGAAAACGAGACTTCCTACGGTTTCTGTCTTCGAGGTTATTTCTAATTGTCAAAAACTTGACAGGGCAGGGGTTGTACAGTAGATGCCAGTTAAAAGTTAAGCGATGTGAATAAAGGATCCTTTTCGCTTTCGATGTATGCTGCAGATAAAGAGGTGGCGGTTTTGCAAAAATAATAATAATAAAAAAAAGACTTCTAGGATTGGAGCGCAATTTATTGTTTACGTGTTCCTTGAAATATGATAAAAACATAAGAACAGACAAACATACTGTTTTCGAAACAGACATTTTCTCGGGGTATGATGTATCTCGGAGAATTTCCTACGGCGAATCTAGAAAAGAAGAGTACCCTACTGTCTTTCTTAGGGCACTATAGAAAATATATGTGACCCCTAATTTTAATTGCTACCTTGTTATAATGGGTATGGACTAACCGTTATGGTAAAGGGACAGTGCCCACGTCCACCGTCACTTATCACTTATAATGGGTACGGAAAAAGTTGTAGTAGACTAGGATGGACCAATTATATTAAAGTGAGACGTGACAGCTTTAAATGAAACAGAGGATTAGGATAAGTTGTATTTGTATGATTATTTAAACCTTAAATATGTTATTGGGGTACTTTGTAAAATGATTAATTGAATGATTAAACATTAAAAATGAATAATTTAGTAGCTATGATTATGAGTTTATTTAACTTTATGTTTTCTTTCCAAGACGGTACAGTAAAAGGATTACATAATTACGTATGTTAAACGAACCTTGGATATATTATTGATGGTTGTATTTATACTTGATTGTCAAAATATTCATAAGGAAGAACGATGAAATACTGTATTTAGAAAATTTTAATACTTAATTGTTGAAATTAGATTCCCCTAAACAACATTTAAATATACGTGCTCGATATTTAATTTCAAAGTATGCCCCTTTAGTATAGTTTACACAGATTAACATTCTTTTTCCTTAATTTCTAATCTTATATTTTTTGTTCAGCTTTATTATTCACAGTTTCTAAAATCATAAATGCATGCGATAATGTTCACAACGTGAGATGAATATTTAAATTTGTATTAAAAATGATACGTGGGCCTAAAGAAAAGTCGTAAATGCAGAGTGGAAGAGATAGGTTGCTTTTCATAGCACAACAGCAAAAATTTTAAGAATTTTTCTTAATGGCTACATTGCCGTCCTATTTATATATGCATGAATATTTATATATAACTGTATTTGCATGAAGTCTCAGTAATCACTGTCGAGCTGAATGTTGCATAGTCTTGTCAATTTCTGTAGATATTTAAATTCTTTTGATCGCGGTGTTGTGATATTAAGTATTATTTTACTTATTTATTTTTTAATTTAGCGGAATACTTTTCGGGTTTATTTTGTATGCGCTTGAATGTGTGGCTGCATGTTTTCGCATATAAAATATTAGTTTCTTGTATAGAGTTGCAGAGTTTTGAATTCTAAAAAGGTTTCAATGGTGAAAATACCCCAATTAGAATGCGGGATATGGGAAAAAAGTCTCCGAAGGTGCCTTAAAATTATCGGGCGACTTTTGAAAAATTAGGGAAAACGCATTTTCGAAGCCCTACGTTATTGGTTTGATTATCTGAATAAACTATCTCCTCTCAAAATGAACACATTCTTATTGCAAATCTTCTTCATAAGATTAAAAAAAATATTAACTTTGTTTTCGTTGTATTTTTTGAGTTTTTAGTTGACATCTCTCGCCCGTCTTCATTATGAGATTTGTTACTTCGAAGCATAGCGATATTTAAGAAGAAGATCATAGAGATTTACAGAGACCATATCAGTTATGATACATAATAATCAATGAGCAATCCGAGAATCAAACACAATTCTTTTCTTTTTATCCATCAAAAATCCGAGGATAAAATCAGTCTGAGATTCAATTAGAAAAGAAGGCCCTCAATTACCATCAATGAGGCATCCGGGAATCAAATCAGTCCCACAGTATAGCAGATTCCGAGGGCTTCATTTATAAGTAATGCAACCAAGAATCAAATCAATACAAAAGCCAAACGGAATCCCTCACTTTCCATTGATGAGAAATCCGAGGACCAAACCAGAGATTCACATGGAATCTGAAGTCTTCGATTGCTATCAATGAGGAATTCCAAGATCGGATCAACCCGAGAATAAAACAAAATGCAACGATCAAATCAATTTGAGAATAAAATGGAAACTTCACATTCTATTAAGGAATTCTATGATCAAATCAACCTTATGAAGAAGACTCTCATTATTGAGCTGGATCTGTGAAAGGTACTTGGAATAATTCGATCAAAATACTTCAGAGAGACCATTTTTAATATCACGTTACAATCAACAAGGAATCTGGGGATCAAATAAATTCGAGAATCAAATGGCACCTATTGCTGTCCAACGATGAGGAATCCGAGGATCAAAACAATTCGACATTCAAATGGAATCCGAATTTAAATTCGAAAATCAAATCGAATCCATCAATATCCGTTGATCAGGAAACCGAAATGCGATCAATCTTACGAAGCACCCATTCGTTCAAGTCGATTTGTAAAAGGAAATTGGAACACTTCCATGAAAAAATTAACTGGGACACTATCAATTACGATGTACTACAGTAAGTGAGGAATCCTAGTATCAAATGAATCCCAGAATCAAAATAAAATTATTCGCTTTCCCTTAGTCCGGAATTGAAGGATCAAATCAATCGCAAAACCAAATGGAATCCGAGGACGTAAATTATCATTAATGAGAAATCATAAGATCAAGCCAATTCCACATTCAAACGGAATGAATCAAAGGGTTTCACTTACAACCAATGACGAATCCGAGAATGGAAGAATGGGGTGTTGTTCTTTCTGAAATGGATGGTTTACTGCAAAAGGAATCAATTCTTCAATGAAGAAAAGAGAAACTAGTTTGCTAGACAATGAGATCTTGCTGGATTAATTATATGTAGATACGAAACACAGAATTTTCTTGAATGTCGAACAAATTAAAAAGGCAAAGAAAGCCATCTATGAACTTTCATTAAGAATGAAATTATTCTCAGAACTATTGGAGAATTCGAATCAGAACAGACAAACTACAGACATTGATATTGTGTCTCTATCATTCTCTTCCGGTGATGAATTAGATTGTAAGAAATATTTTTGGATAATATTGAAAAGGCTAAGGCAAATCGAATGAAAGCGTTCTTTAAATTAAAGAACGAAGAGCCTTTAGATACAAAAATGATAAAATACAAACAAGATTTCCACACAGCCTTTGAAGAAATAGAGAAATATGATTGCGCTTAGAAGACATTTCTCTTAGAGCTTATAAAAGTCTATCCTAAAAAGTTAAAAGAAGTAGTCCTAACAGTAAAAGCTATTCCTCCTACTCAAGTTAATGTGGAAAGACTCTCCACAGCTCTGAAGTTTATCAGATCGGATCTATGACCCTCCAACAAAGATCTTGCCGACGCTATAGTATTTCTTAGAAATAACTAATGCCAGTTTTTCCATTTCATAATAAATGCTAATTAATATAAATAATTTGCTATACCATCAATTTTCCCTGTAGCATCTATTACTTCTTTTATATT